GACTAAGATTGAATTCTCTGACTTGTAGTTGGAAACTCGCACTTTGAAGTCTAATAGACTCAAAAGAGGTCCTTCAGCAGTGTAACTGACTGAGTTGTCCACCTAAGTACCGAGGTAAACAGGGTATTTGGATAGTTTTAGGGTTCCGCGGAGCTAAATATAGCCAGCGGAGGGTTCCGCGGAGACAGCTGTATGCCTCTGTGGTGGGTATATGGCGCTGAACCAAACTCTCTATGCGAGACGTTCGAACAGTGGACTCTGGCTTCGTTACCAAAGTACCTTTAGGGCACTGACACCACTACGACGAGCCTGACAGTGGACTTGGGCTTCGTTACCCAAGTGCCTTTGGGGCAAAGTCACAACCTCGACGGCCTTGACAATGGACTCTGGCTTCGTTACCAAAGTACCTTTAGGGCAAAGTTCTCACTCAACGAAGAGGTTGAACAATGGACTTGGGCTTCGCTACCCTAGTACCTTTAGGTTTTATACGTGAACACTTCTTACGGTGAACAACACGAGCTTAGGTGCCTTAAAGCTAAATTAAGAGCCAACAACCAAATCTCTGTTAATGAGCAACTACAAACGAAAGATTGTATGATAACAAATCTCCGCGAAGCCGACCAGAGGACACCAACGCCGTATAAGCAAGCTTTAGACCGTAGTCACAGCAATACTGGGGGCAAGGATGAACTGAGGCATTGCGGGTTCTGGCAGGCCTTTTATACTACTTCTGATAAATACATGATAAACTGATAATGACTAATGAGTAGGGATATTTGATATGCGGCAGCCACGTAAACGGATGCCGAGTTGCTTGATGAGATTCTGAAGCCGAACGAGTCATCTTGTTTGACTCGTCGACCTATAAAGGGTATATTTGAATTGCCCGCGGAGCTGCCGACACAATTCGTATATTGCCGTCCTGACGTTTCCTGCCGGCCTGGTTGGTAAGTATACCAAGCCCTGATAAGCAATAACTGCTAAACGGGTCCGCGGAGCCGTCCTGCCACGCATATGCTATGTCCCAATCTGGTTTCCTGCACTAGATCCGAAATGGATCGATTGTGCTTGTCTTTGTTGTCTGATCTGAGCGCGTCTGTCTCATCACGTGTGGTCTGGGCCCTGCTAGGTATCGACTGTGTTCGATCCTCGCAGTTAGCAATCATTATGAATGAGATAGATCAAGCTGGACATCGAGTTATGGAGCCGCTGAGCTGTCTAAGCCTTCCGCGTACTATTTATAGCCTCCGCGGAGCCTGCGTTCCATGTATCTCGACCTCTTAGCCTCAGTCTCTCCCACAACTCTGTAGTTGATAATAGATTCAATCTGTCTTTGGTCTGGGCTTTTATGTTTATATATCTCTTTGTTTATGTGTCTAGCCTTTGCAGCGCAATCCGCCCCTACATATAGGTTGTGGACTGAGTCTGGCGGTGCTTCCTAGTACATGACAGCGATCCCGACCCCCAATTGGTAAGGGCCAAGAATCCCACGAACATACACTGATTCACACCTCTCGCATGATTAACACTCAATCAGCAGCTCGGAGCTCACTCTGACTCTCTTATGTATCACCGAACAGGGGTCCACGGAGCATCATTAGCCTCAGCGGAGCGCCATCCAACAGTCCGCGGACCCATTTCTGGATCCTTAGAAAGTCAAAAATGCGCAATTTCACGGCTGGACTAATCTGGGCCGTATCAGCGTGGTTCCACAAATGGCCCGAACACACGTCTCTCGGGCTCCTGATGGCGAACGACTCCGGCGCGCGACCGTTGACGGACGCCGAAATGTTGCTGCTGGGTGCCGCTATCAAGGTCAGAAAATAGGTAAGTCGCGTCTACAACATCCCCTTGGCGCTGGAGTTGACTTTACCTCCAGCAACTCAAGAATTGGTTCAGAAATCATAGGAAGAAAATCGGCGACGCGACGGCTGCTGCGGTACAGACACGTTCGACGGCAGCGCTGTTCAAGAATATTTTCAAGTTGAACGCACCGAAGCGCCGGCGCGCGCACCAGCCGGTGGAGCACTTCCAACTCCGGAACGCTGACCTCATCGCCAAAGCACTCAACGACGAGGGATACAACGTGTTGACGTTGGAGGGGATGGAAGACGTGGACTGGACTAACGAGGCGGATTCCACTGAGGTGGGACGCAACAAGAGGTTGAAGTCAGATCGGATGCGTTTGCGGATGCGCGTGGTGTCGGCGCTCTGGGCGGAGGCGGATGATGACGAGAAAGAGGCGGTGGAGGCGTTGGTGGAGGCAGAGAAGGAAGTTATCCGGGTGGAAGAGTTAAAGGCGGAGGCAGAGCTGGATCCCTCCGTTCCCGATGCGCGCACAGTTTGGGAGATGCAGGAGTAGGTCTTGATTGCCATTTCCTGACGCTGTTGAGCTGACCTTTTTTACCTAGTGGCATTGACGCGTTGGAACCTGTATACACAGAGGTTCACAGGGCGACATTTAACGCGTCTGGATGGGTTGGGATGACGATTGTGGGGGGGCCGAACCCGAGAATGGGAGGCGAATTCAGCTACAAAATGTGAGTGCCGTTTTGGGAACTTGTGTGGTCGTGTTAGCTTACCAGGACTTCAGCGTCTGCTTTGGCGAAACACCAGCTGGAAACGATTTCGAGGACTCTTGCGCGGATTTCGACAAGAACGTCACGGAGCCTTTCGAGGAGTTTTTCAGCACTGTTTTCAGTAAGTGCCTGCCATTCCTGAAGTGCGCAACAGATGGACTAACCTTTTCTCAGCGGCTCAAGAACAGCGTGCACGGGCTTATCCCAGCAGGCCTGAGCCTGAGGCCGATCCTTGAAGCGCGTCCAGGAGATCCGATGGCGACGCCGACGAGGCTGTTCCAGCCACACCTCCGAAGAAGGCGCACAAACGTGCACCCAGACGAAAGAAGGGACCCGCGGGCGCAACAATCGCAGCAATCGCGCCTGTCGCAGCAGTGCCCGTGGTTGGCTCGGTTGAGGGCGACATCGCGTGCTCGACCCCGTCCTCGACCCCGACCCCGTCTGACACTGTCGGCAGCCACTCCCCGCACTCTGATTCCTTCCCGGCATCTGTGTTGCTGTGTTTTACACCCCACCTCTCATCTGCAGATGAAGGCGACATTCTGGACGGTTTCTCAATCGGCGACATGTTCGATGGCTTCAACTTCGACACCATGATGCTCGATCCAGCGGCCTCATCGTCGCCTCCCTTGCTGTCACCTCCCTCCTCACCGTCTTCTGCCAGCGCAGCACCGGTTTCGCCGTTCACCTTGCGCCCCATCCCCCGCCCCACGTATAAAGGTGCGACGTACGTGCCCCTGGCAGCATTGGAGACGGCGAATGTGGGAGGATATAATTTCCCCCTGGAGTCGCCGCCTCACTCGCAGGCGATCTCAACTTCGCTAGCCCCCACCGCGCTTGCCCCTGCACCGGGGATGCCCAGCACAGGCACGTTCACGAGCATGATGGCGCACGCGATGTACAAGATCATCAACCAGCCAGCACCGACCACCGCGCCCAGAGTTGCGCCCACGACCCCCGCGCCCGTGCCCACCGCCCCCGTTGTTGTCGCGCGCGCGCCTACTACCCCCGCCGTTGTCGCGCCTGCGCCCGCCCCTGCCATTGTCGCGCCTGCGCCCACCCCTGCCGTTGTCGTGCCCGTGCCTGCGCCCGCCCCTGCCATTGTCGCGCCTGCACCCACCCCTGCCGTTGTCGTGCCCGTGCCTGCGCCCGCCCCTGCCATTGTCGCGCCCGCGCCCACCCCTGCCCTTGTCGCACCCGCGCCCACCATCCCCGTTATCCTGGCCACGGCCAGCGCCATCCCCATCGTCACGGCAACCAGCATCATACCTGTTGTCGCTAACGAGTTCCCAAAGTCGCGGCCACTGGCGAAGGTGCCCACCGTGAAAAAGGGCGCAGCCGTGAAGGACGCAGCGGCAGCGCCGAAGACACGCGCCAAGGCGGCCAAGAAAACAGGGCAGCTAAAGGCGGGCACAGTAGCGGCAGAGAAACAGCTGGCAGCGGTGACGACGGCACAGAAGGTGGTGGAGGTGGAGGAGAAGGTGAAGAAGAGGAGGGGGCAACCCAGGAAGATCGTGGTGGAGGAGAGCGGCGGGGACGAGGGTGTGGCAGTGGAGGAGAGCGCGGGGGGCGAGGTTGCGGTGAAGAGAGGGAGAGGCCGACCCAAGAAGATCGTGGTGGAGAGCGCCAGAGGGGAGGGCGCGGCAGCGTCGGCGGCATCCACGGTGACGGCACCAATTGCACCGTTGGCGCCAGCGCTGATATACAGCATGCCTGGTAATAATACCATGGCATTTAACCGGGCGGTGGAGAAACGTCGCGCGCAGGAGATATCGGAGAAGGCAGCGAGGAAGAAAGCGGAGGAGAATGCGGCGCTTCTGGTGCAGGCGGCGAAGGGCTGGCACACCGCTCCGAATCCCAACGGGGAAACGGAGACAGTGATTTTGACGCGCGCGCGGAAGCCCACACGGTTTGTGGATGGGACCGTGCTGACGCGCCAGGTCAAGAACACACGCGCAAATCCGCATGCAGCGAGCGAGGCGGCCTTGCTAGCTCGGACGGAGGAGGGAAAGCGGAAGAGAGAGGCGACCGAGAATACCTCGGAGGCGTCTGGGCGCTTGAAAAGGTATGTCGCTCGTTGGTTTCCTCATGCATACCGTGCTAAGACGTTCACAGGCGGAAATCGTCTTAATCGCCACTGAGAGGGGCTTGAACGCCTTCAACGGCATACGATGACGTCGGCGCCTGCTGCTCAACCAGCCCGTTGTATTGCTGCTCCACCAGCACTCGCGTTGATGCTGCTCAACCAGCGTGCATTGTTTTTTGTACAGTAAGGTAGTTGGGATTATTCAAAAATGTTGACTTGGTATCTTTGGTGTTGCGTTTTCTTGGGACTTAGCGTAAAAAGTGATTGAGTTGTTTTTTTGTGAGGGGACTTATGCTTAGTGTGAAAAATGATCGAGGTACTAAAGGAGAGAAAAAGGCAGTTGACCGGGATCGAACCCGCAACCTCGTGGTGAAACTAGAAATTACCACTGGTTAACTTATTGTAGGCACTCTAACCAACTGAGCCACAACTACATTGAAACTGCACTTGGTCGAGGGCATAAGATGGCATCCGTCCAGCTTCAGTTGAGATAAACGGACTTCACGTTTTCACTTGAAATATTTCGGCCACGAGAATAAAATAAAATAAAAAACAGTTTGACAGAGAAAATGACTCTTAAGAGTTCACCACTTTTAAAAAGGGCCGGGGCGTGTCGCTGAATCAGGGCCGCCCGAGAGAATAAAGGAAACCAATATGATTCTTTTTAAAGACGAACAATATATAAACGTGCTACATGTGGAGGCGTGCGGGAGCGAGAGGTGTGCGCGCAGAGGGGGGGTTCTGCGCAAAGAGCGGGAGCAGGGCGGCGCAAGGCGGGGGGCGGCGGCGCAAAGGGCGGGCACAGCGGCGGCGCAAAGGGCGGGCACAGCGGCGGCGCAAAGGGCGGGGGTCGGCGGCGGCGCGGTGCTGGATGGGTGCTGTGGGCAGAAGGACAGCCACGTACCAAGCCAGGGTCGAGCGGGGGGACACCGAGCCGCCGCAACGCTGATTGCTAGGCAATTCCGGGAGGTATGAACGCGGCGAAGGGGGAGGGCTGACACGCAGAGAATGCGGAGGAGTAGGGCTGCAGGAAGCCCCGAGTGCTGGGCGCGACCAGGTTTTGCGTGCTATACAGGCACAGAGAGGGAGGCGAGGCGAGCTCGATAGTGCGCCAGTGGAGGGGATTGAGGGATTCCAAGTCAGCGTAGGCATAGATGAGATTAGATATGTATGCGTCATGAAGATTGAGAGCCCCCAAGGGCAGGGAAGCGCGGGGCGCGGGGAAGGGAAGAGGAAGCTGGGATAATAACAGGTGTAAACAAATGTCCTGATTTGGGATGGGCGGCGCGCCGCGTGCACGGACCACGTCTGGCGGGCGAGCGCGGGTGCAGTAAGCGGAAAGCGGGGGTAGGGGTAGGCGCGCCAGGAGGAAGGTAGCCTGATATATCAGGCTACTCCGCTGACTAGAGGATCTGATATATCGGCACCCTCTGCTAACGCAGAGGCATCTGATATATCAGATCCCCACATACGCCTGATGCAAAATCTGGCAGTGACATATGAACAACTGGGGAAATCAAGTGAGGCAGATGGTCTGAATGCAATTCTCAGGGGGAGTCAAGTTTGTGTTACTAAAATTTATGTTGTTGTTCTTTTTTACCATCTGACATTGAGTGATATATACAAAGAATTGTCCAGACAGTGTTGAAAAATAGGTTACAGTATGAAAGAGACTGGCAGTTGTGCAGATATTTGATCAGGATGCAACACATTCTCAATTCCACTCCCAGTGCTATCCTGTACAATCTCACAACAGCCAGTGTTATATTATAATTAGGAATACAAATATGATTTTATTCGTTTTTGCCACCTCAACAATTGGAGACCATCTCTGTTGGATTTTCTGAATTGTGTTCCATGGTTCCACCTGTGATGATATTATATTCCACCAAATTTAAGTGATGATCTTTTTCTCTCTTTCCTCTGACCTAAAGGTAACCCAAGGGAAAGGTAGATTTGAAGAGTTCACAGGTTTCATATCCGCACGGTCACCAGTGCAGTGCAGAGTTTTCTATTATGGATTTTTGTGTTAGTTGAATCGATGAAAATACAATAATGAAACTGTGACAAGGCCAAGAACTGGGGATAATTCTGTTGTTGTTGTTGTTGTTGTACAATGTCGGCAGGGTGGGCGTGGTCCTGGTGCAGCAAGAAGATCAACATATGGAGCAGGAGAAGCCTGCCCAGGCCATTGTGTGTGTGATTCCTTGCTGCGAAGAAGGTCACTGGGACCCCGGTCGCCACACCTATATACTGGATGTCAAGTAGGTCAGACTTGAATATCCAACCATGAAATCCAAATAGTTCTAACCGCTTCGAAATTGAGTTCCTGTGCAGCTTATTCCGTCGATGTCAACAAATTCAGGAATACCATTGCTGTCCGTATCATCGACTGATGTGCACTGCCATCGGATGTAGAAGTTGACACTCATATCAGCAGGCATGTCAGGCTTGAATGTCTTGAGAAATAGCAGCAAGTCTCTGCTTAATCCTTCTATCCGGCGACAACTATATCATTGCTGTTCGTCCCAATCGCGGGAGTTGTGTGGATCCCCATGTCAGACAGGCTGAGTTCAACAATGGATAGGGAGACTTGCCAGGCTATTAGAGTAGGCTCTAATGAACTCAATCGATGTGAGCTCGGAGTGACTACCAACATCCATCCCACCACCTAGAAATTACCGAATGCGATGGACAATGTAATCTGTGAGGAGGGGTGTATTCCCGTATTCCGTGCCAGTTCTGGCATGCTGGAACATCTCATATTTCTTAAAGAAAATCTCACGTTGGCCCTTGATACGGGGATGCTGAAGAATATGCAGTTGCAGAAATTACTGTGATTTTGTTCCAGAAGTTGTTGACTGCGGCCACAACACATTGACTTGGAAAAAGAAGACTGAATGAATTGAGCTACAAAGTTTCCTAATGCGCACCTGATCCTGTGTGAGATGCTTGGCATAGGTCACACTTGACCTCCATGAGTGCGTTGTGCAGCCTTAGAGTGTAGTTGGAGGTGATTGCAAGCCATAATGTGAGGGACTGTGAGGGTCTTGCTGAGGCTGGCGAAACTTTCCGGAGCACTATTGTGTGTGCCCTGCACATGCGGTCTGGTCACAGACATTGAGCAGGCCGGGAGAGGGAATAATGTCGCCACACGCAAGAGTTGTCATCAACACTGTGTGGGACCCTGCATAATTATTGGATGGCCATGGAAAAAATAGAGGTGACTAGCCTTCGAGTCCGAATAATAAAAAGGGATTCACTTGTGTGTGCTATACCAAGTCAACACAGGTTCTGGGACCGGGACTCAAGTTAGCGACCACAAGATTAGACACTGAGAGGAGAGACCTATTAATTACAGTAGGGTTCTTTGTGAGCTTTGCTGCATTCTTTATTTAAGATTGTGTTCCTGGAGCCAAAGATTTTATTCCTGTTAAAAACTGGGCCAAGAAAATGTTGTTACCAGTGTGATTCTGAATCTGTCGAATTCCAGAACTGTGGAATTCCAAACCCTCAAAGAAGCAGGGAATATTGGCTTGATTTGGTTCAACCGAGTCGACCCGTGGTCTTGAAATCCGAGTTACGAGTCCTAAAAATTTATTTTTAGACTTGTTTTTATAAGCCATTACAAGAGCGCGCCAGGGCGCTTCGCGCCCTGGCACTTCGGCTGGAGGTGCTGAGAATGATGGAACAAACATAGTTAACACTCGGATAAATGGTGGAGATAGAAGCTGATGGCCCAAGTTTAATGGCGGGCCGGACACGGGGTATAACGGCACGGCGGAGTTGAAAATCTGTTGGTGGAGCAATCAGTGGTGCCGGCCCCGGGACGTGAGAAATCAGGCGGAGCTTAAAAAGCTCCAGACGGACGGACAGGCTTAATTCGGAGTTTCATCTTTCCGTAAAGAAAGTTTAAAGGTATCTTCCACAGTCCGGGTCTGATGAGCCAAAGCTGTAGTGTCAGCTGATGTGGTCAGCTGATGTCGGAGGGTGAAATTTGACAGCGGAGATCGAAAAGGCTTCGGACGGACGGACAGACGGACAGACACATGTAATTTTATAAAGAGGGTGATACCGCCACAGTGAGAGTTTTTTTATTTCGATAACGTAGTTGATTCATGGTGGGATCATTACTTTAACGGGTAATTTTTGTGGCCTAGAAAGGAAATCACTTCAAATATGGCTGACTGTGAGCGGTCTAGACTGTGTGATGGGTCTATCATGTCGTGTATCATTTTACAATGTCCATTGCCTATCTTATATCCTTCCTCGCCACAGCATCTGCCCCATTTTGTAAAATACATTATATCTGAGTTATACCAGTTATTTCATAGTCTCATTCCCGCCATTATAGGGCAGTCGCTGCTCGCAGGCCAATTCACAGTGCTATTTATAATGTCATCTTGTTGAAATGATGCTGAGGCAGATTCTTTTGATGAGAAAAGATTGCCTGCAGAGTCGATTGCTATTTAGAGATCCCATCAAAATCGGATCAAATCAAGGTAAGCGACGCCAGCGAGGAAAATGGTCCAGACCCATGGCACATCCCGCCATCTGATGTGACACTCACACCCTGCCATTTCGTTCGTATTGAGTCTGACTTTGGTCCTCGCCACAGGGTCGTACATACCATCACCCTCCTGACCTAGTCTGTCGGGTACACTTCCGCCTGTCTGTTGAGACGGCGGGTCTGCGCCTAGGCATGTAAACCAGCTATTTTGTCGCTCCTAGGAATGGCTTACCTTCCTAGGAACATCTATAAGGGAACAGTCACCTTTCCTAGGAACCCTGTTTGGTGATATACAATTAGATTCAGAGTGAGCTCCGAGCTGCTGATTGAGTGTTAATGATACAAGAGGTCTGGAATAGTGTATGTATGTGGGATTCTTGGCTCTTCCCAAATGGGAGTCGGGATCACTGTCAATGGTCATATACTAGGAAGCACCGTCTGATTTAGTCTATAACCTATATGTAGGGGCAGATTGCGCGGCAAACTTAGACACCATACCAAGGAGATATGCCAAAGCCCAAGGCAGACAGACAACAAGAATTATATCTGGAAACAACCCAAAAGACTGCACAGTTGAGGTTTATGGCACAGTGTTGGCCCTAAACAGGATGATTATCCTTCCTAGGGGACATCGTACACACGGATAGCTGTATGTCTAGGATGGTCAACCATCCTAGGAGCAGTAATTACTATTACAACTAAGTGGCACACCCTACCTAGGGTCACTTCAAACGAAGTACGAACCACCAGGCATAGTCCACGGGACCTGGCTATAGGTCTAGAACACACGTGACACACGCATCGCATTCCAAAGGCAAATACAAAGACAAAGCAACCGTATTTAGAATACATATGGAAGCTGGCTAAGAGAAGAGATATACCCGAGCATGCTGTGTGGCTAGTCGGCGCCACAGCATGGCTGAG